AAGAGGGTAGTTGGGTGTGGTGGCATGCATCCACCCTTAAGCCCAACACTTGGGAGTCAGAGGCAGGCAGATTTCTGTGAGTTCAAGAACAATCTGGTCTATAGAGTGAGTGTCAGGACAGTCAATCATACACAGAGAAACCTAGTCTCAAAAAAATTAAAAATGAAAAGAAAAAGAGTTTAAAATAAAGCCATGTAAATATGGAAAATACCCTGAGAATCTGGATACTGTATGTTATTGTGTTGTCTTTGAATGGTTTGATGGCTGAGGAAGGAACAACAGCTGCTAAAAGATATTTGATTACAAATGTTCCTGGATTAATCCAAAAATATATATTTTGAAAATGCCTTGACTTCAAAATTTAAGTCAAAAGATATGTTACTTTGGGGATGAGGTTGAGGTTTGTTTTTGTTTCTACAGGAAATGAGAGGCTGTAGATTCATTCTGGGTTAAGAAATATCAGGTTTGATGAAGGAAGACCCCCTAAAGAATCTCCAACATGGTCCAGATGGTCCAGATGATCCAACATTTTAGAGAACCTCTGTTGGTATTTCCTCTGAGTTCTACATCCAGAACAGCCTCAAGACTGCTGGCTGAGATGATAAGCCTCATAGAATACTCCAGTTAAGATGACCATATTCTAAATTTTTCTTAGGTACCCATAAGATTATCAGTGCCCCCAGTCAGCAGGAAGTAGCCTAGAAAACTATGCACACATTCCCAAAATGGTTTATGGATGTTTGTCTTTGTTTAGAGTGTTGGTTACAAGTTTTTATGGATAATGGTCAGGAAAAAAGCTAAACAAAGGAGACTAGATACAGAGTTTTTGTTTTGAAGAAAATGGGGGGTGCTGTGGGACAATGGTCTTATACCCTGTAAAGATATGTCTGTAGTATTGGTTTAATAAAACACTGTTGGCCAATAGCCAGGCAGGAAGGAGAATTCTGGAAAGAGGAAAGAGTCAGTCTGCAGTTGTAATCCAGACACAGAGGAAGCAAGATGAGACTGCCTCAATGATAAAAAGTATCAAACCATGTGGCTAACACGGACAAGAATTATAAGCTAATATGAGTTATAAGAGTTAATGAGAAGCCTGAGCTAATAGGTCAACCAGTTTATAATTAATGGAGACCTCTGTGTGTTTCTTTGGGACTGAACAGTTGTGGGACCAGGCACGACAGAGTTGATAGGGTCTTGTACACTCAAGGATATTTATAACACTAAGATTTTATAATTCTAAGGATAATGTTTAAAGAAATGACTTAGCTCATAAACAACGGATATAATCCACCCCAGATAAGTCACAGCCATGCTTATCTGAGAAATGTTTTGGTATCCCTTATCCACTTGGTGAACTCTTCACTTTTTCAAGGCCCACCTAACTGTCTCTGTGTGCTGGCTTGTGTTCTCCAGCACTCCAGACACAGATGAAGGATGGAATGCATTGTGGGTACTCGAGTTTAATAGGAAAGTGGATGGTTCAGGGCACAACCAATAAAGGTTAACCAGAAAACAAAGAGTCTCAAAAGCAAATATAAGAAACAGCTAGGATGACTTCAAAGACTTCCTGCAGGAAAGAGACACAACGAACAGCCTTGGGGACTGAAGGACACAATAGCTGCCTTTAAGGACTGCCACGGACACGGAGACATCTTTCTGGGCTGCTTTGACCGTAAATACAGGGCAAATGGAAGCAATTATGAGGACAGAGGCCCTGCTTAAGGAAACACCCTCTTTATACACAGCCTAGGGTTGGCCCTACAGTGAGAACACAGTGGGTTTTTAACTAAACTGGAGCTTTAAGAATTTGAGCTATTCAAGCAATGAAACACGCTCACCAAACCTCCAGAGCTGCTCAGGAGAAAGCCATAGAAGGAGTTCTTTTGGAATGACATTAGATTGAATTAAGTAAAGAATGACAACACACCTTTATGTAGAGAGAGAACAGGACTGTTTGATGGTGGCTCCTGGTAGCAGTGAGAACATTTGGAGCTGTCTTTGTCCAATAGGTGTATATGATCATTGAGCATGCCATTGCGGATAGAGGAGTAGAACATGCCTATCACGACATCTAAGGCCCTTTTCAGCTGTTTGGTTACATGTACCTCTCTTGCCATATGCTTGTGTGTTAGGCCTCTGGTGACCCAGGTATGGTTGTTGGAATGAAATTCAACAATGTTTCTCGCAGTTTCCCCAAACAAATACACACTGTTGTATTCTACAAAGTCAGCATGAAGCCTCCATCCATGGGCTTGTGGCTTTCAGATATAGTTTGAGACCTGGGGCAGCTGGCATTGATTCTGTTTGTTTCCTTAGAAGAAACAGTATTGATCTCCAACACCGTGAAGCCTGCTCCTGGGTCGCCTAGTTCCAACAAACAATTCCCTTGTCTTCAGCAGCCATTTCAAAGGCCCCCAGATACTCGACTTCTATTTGGCTCAGCCTCCAGCTAACAGGCTGCTTATGCTGGGTACCACTAAGCATTCCTCCATTCAGTCCGTGTCACTGTCCTTTCCTGCCTTCTAAGCCACCGTACTGAACATCACATTCTTCAGTGCGGGACACAGTTGGCCACTTAGATAAACCTGGCTTCTCACCTCAGTTTGGTGTAGACTAAAGATAAACAGATGAACCAGGAAGTCTGCTGTAGGCACTGCCGACAAAAAGAAGTGCGAGTGGGGCTGGGAAGTGGTGTGGTAGTGGGGAGCCTAGTTCTCCTGGAGGGTAGGATGGGGCCAGCACTGGTTTCAGGGAGAGCTTTGGCAGAATGCTCATCAGAGAATGGAAGTGGAGGGGCAGGGGTCTCAAGGAACAGTACTGATCTCGCCTGAAGTAATTAGTCCCACGCGATAGTTTGGAAGTAACTGCTAACAACCTGACAAGAGTTCTGAAAATGAGTCAACAAAGTGTGAAATTGTGGCTAGCAGCTGCCCAGTCTTTGAACCAGATGAAGCCTGGCATTCTCCTTCCTTTGGATTCTCTCCCTCACGTGTGATATTTTCGCAGCCTCAGGAAGCCATCCCATCCTCTAAGTCCGGCTTAATCTAGAAGAAAGCATCCTGATCCCTGTGCTGCATCTTCTAACGCAGAGCTAAGCTGATCACAGCCCTGCTGGGACCATCTCATCTGAATCTGGCCAAGGGTCCCAGAATACCCAGGCTGCTGCCATCAAAACCGGTCCTCTGCACCATGTTTACGGCACATTCACAACACCTAGAAAATGGGAGCTCTCCAGGAACTACCCATGGATGGATGGGTGGATGAGCAGTGCAGTGTACATAAACAATAGGGTGTCATTCCGCCTTAAGAAGAAAGAAAATTCTGACATATGCTGCAACGGGGATGGGCCCTGAGTATTATGCTAAGTGAAAAGGGACGTATCCCGCATGGTTCCACTCATAGGTGGTAACCAGAACAATCACATTCATGAAGCATGGTGGGTGCCAGGGGTTGGGGGAGGAAGGAAAGAGGAATTGTTGTTTTATGGGTGTAGGGTTTCAGTTTTACAAGGTGAAAATATTCTGAGGATCGGCTGCATATTGAAATAGATGAATTGAACCTATACACTTAAAAATGATTATGATGATAAATGTTATATTGCATATATTTTACCATAATTGTTAGGAGGGTTTTTTTTTGCTGCTGTTTCTTTTTGGTGTGTGCGTGTGTGCATGCGTGTGTATGTTTGTGTGTGTGTATGTGTGTGTGTTACAAACACACACATCTGGAACCAACTGTAATTCAAACTGTTGTAGATTCTGGCAGGTGATTTTCTTAATAAGATTATTTGAAGTAGGAAGACCCACCCTAAGTCTGGACTACACCTTCTAGTGGCAGCCTAGATAAAGGGACACGGAAGAAGGAAGCTTTTGTTTTTTGCCTACTTGTCCTTGTTCTCGCAGGAATTCATTTACCCTGTTTGCTGAGGTTGGTATTAAATCCGACTTCTTTGGGATCCAATGTGAAAAAGGGCAGTTCTCCAGGAATCCTCCACACCCCAGCACTAGATTGGGACTGCAGAGACATCCAGCCTTGTAGACTGGACAGCTACTGGATTCTCAGCTTTTCCATGGTGAGACAGGCACTGTTGGACTACTATGTCTGAAAGTCAGTCTAATAAATCCCCTTTTAATATCAGCTCTGTCTCTTTTGAGAACCCTGACTAATATAACAATAAAGCCCCGACTTCTCCCTTGTGCCTTGAGTGAGAAGTATGCCCGAGCTCCTGCAGGAGCTAGCTTTGCATGATCTTTCATCTGGAAGCCTCATCCCGAGGTCTCATCTAGAAGAAACCAGTGCAGACAGCAGATTAATCATGCCAAATACACGATACCCTAGAACTGAGACTATTCCGTTACCGTAACCGTTGGCACCAGGACATCCAAAAGTAAGAGACTTTCCAAACTGTTTCCTCTAATAACAGTGAACGAACATATTCATCAGTAAATGAGATGGGCCCTTTAAAAACACTAAGGGGCAATTTAACACTCCCGGCCTTGCTGTAATTTATATGTTGAACATCTCCGAAGCCTCCAGTGCTGAAGGCTGTGGTCCCCAGGATTGGTGCTACTGAGGAGTGGTGGAACCTCTAGGAGGTGGGGCTTAATGAGAGGTTCTTGGGTCAGTAGAGGTGACTGCGACACCACAATCCCTTCGAAATGTAAAATATACCCCATCTTTGCCCTTTCCAGAAGCCAAAACCAGAAATAACCAAAACCATGAGATCACCTGACCTTGGATTAGAACCTAAAGAACCACAAACCAGGTAAAGTCTCTCTCTTAATAAGATAATTGTGTGCTGGGATTAAAGGTGTGTAGCAGTGATAATTGAGTCAGCATTCTCCATCCACCGTGTTGGTTCTAGGGACCGAACTCAGATCATCAGGCTTGGCAGCAAGTAGCCTTTCCCACTGAGCTGTCTTGCAGGTCCTACAGGCATTTTTTAAATAACACCTCAAGCTAACTAGTACAAAATCTTATGGGAAATGGAGTATTAGTTTCTGCTTGTGCACATACAAGTTATATTTGTCTGCCAGTACCTTTCCTATGGGAGGAACCACTTCTCCCTTGTTCTAAGGAGCTTAAAGTCTGAAGGGCTGTCTAACAAGATGTCTTTCCCAGTGGCCTGTATAGAGTAGGTACAGGCATAGGGCCCTAGCAGAAGCAACCAAAGTACTGTATGTATCCTTTGTACCCAGTGACTAGCTTAAATGTAGCCATAGTGCCCAAGCAGGGTCAATGGTATTTGCACATAGATACAAAGACAGAAAGAACTTTTCCCTTTGGGCTCATAAACCATCATACATCTTCCCCACTAGCTGAGAATAAAGCCACAGAGGCAAGGCCCAGAGCTAGAAACAGAGAGATCTTTACTTCGGTATTTTAACCCTGAATGTTTCAACCATCTCTTCCCAGTACTTTCCAATTATGGGGGTAAATAATTCTTTCCTTTTTTTTTCTTGGAAGCTTGTTTAAATTGGATGTATGGACCTTGCAACAAAGAATCCTGACAAATACAGTTTGTTCATTTCAGTTCAAATGCTTTTCATATTTGTTTCACCTTGTGACACTGGCTATTTTTGAGTCCACAAAATGTATTCTACACACTTTTCATCCAATGTACCAAGACACAGTGTGAAAATTCTGGAGAGAAAGAATTAGTAAGACCAGTGTTTGTCTGTAAGGTACATCATAATGGAGGTGAGGGTTTAGGAGAAGGGAATAATTCTATTTAACAAGTACTTTAAAATTATCTTCTATGTGCCAGGTGTTTCCACAAGTAATTGCAGTTAAATAGCACCAACCCTGAAAAGAAGGTATTCCGTGACAACCTTGTACATAAATCATGGTTCTGAAAAGTTAAGCAATTTGCCAATACCTCCAGCTTTTACACAGTAGAGCAAGGTTTCCAATTCAGTCCTGTTAACTCCAAGGTCAGTGTCCTTGCCTCTGTACAATCCTGCCTCCTGGACACAGGACAGAAAAAAGGAAGAATTTGTTCATCGGTCCGTTTAGAAACCACTTCTTCAGTGCCATTGTTCTGATGTTTATGCAAATACTTCTCAGATTAATATACATTAAATGAATGCAAAGTATTATCATCAAGTGCAGGGCACCGTGCTAGGCCCTACAGAAGGCAGCACAGAGATGAAGAAAATAGTCTTTTTCCTCAGGGGCATACAATAGAGTAGCCCTAGAAATACTGCATGGCAAAATATGATTAATGGCATAAGAGAAATTCAAAGAGCTGTGAGAGTTCTGAGCAGGAAATGTTTACATCTGATTGAGGGAGCCGGAAAGACTTCATGGAAGAGAAGTATATTAGGTAAGTGCAAATGGGTGTATTTATAATGATGTATTTGCCCAAGTAGCGATGGGATTCGGGAAAATGAAAGGGAGGGAGAAGAGGAGGGAGGGAAAAAAAGAACTGGGTAGGTAGGATGGGATTAAAAGCAAACAGCAGACCAAGAGAGAGGCCATGGGGGTAGGGGAGGGACAGGAGAGGGCAGCAAGCAGTTGGGCATGGGCTGCCCCTGGTCCAGGGCTGTGACCCCGCCACTTGGCCATGGTGAGAAGGCCTCTGATCTCCAGAGACATTCTGCTGAGGTAAAGCGCTCTCTCTACTCACTCATCCACCCTACTTGCCTGTTCCAGCTAACTCAGACTGTTATTTAACCTACTAGCCCCCATACCTTAAAAAAGAAAGAGGCAAGGGAACATTCTGGAGGTTTTCAATCTGGGAGTAAGGTCATCTGGGGAGCTTGTTCAGCTGTAGACCCTCAGGCTCCAAAGATCCTGTTTCAACAATGCCAGGGACATCTTTAAAGCTGCTCAGGGTGAATCCAACACAAATGTTTTGAGGGCCACACTTCAGTTAACACTACAACCTAACTCACTTGTTTCCCTGGTAAGTAAGTACTAGATTCCAGGGGAGTTAAAAGACTCGTTCAAGGTCACGAAGCCAGTTAATGGCAGACCAGAACCCAGGCCCATGGGCTTCTCAATCCTATGCTTTCTTCCCATTGTCCTCAACAAACCACAGACTTGTCAGGAACAGGGCTCAGGAACGTGCTCACTGAATAAGCCTGAGGATCTGAATTCAATCCCCAACGCCCATGCGAAAAGCAAAGTTTGGTGACACATGTCTGTAACTGGTGCTAGGCAAGGCAGGGACAAGTAGATCATTGGAATTTATTGGCCAGTCAGTCCAACCATTGAGCCCCAGGGTCAGTGAGAGACAATCAATCAATCAATCAACTAGAGAGTGATAGAGAAAGACATTTGATATTAACTCTGACCTACGCACACACTCACACTCCAAAAATATAGCTATATAACTCAGAGTTCCCCCTAAGTAATGATATTATAAAGCCATGGTAATTCCAGCACTTGGGAGGTGGAGACAGAAGGATCAGAAGTTTAAAGCCAGCTTCAAACATACCAAGCTAGGCTAAGCTACACGAGACTTCATCTCAAAAGGGGAACACCAAAACGATGGTTGATATTACAGGAAGGGAAACCATTCCTGTTTCCCACAACAGCTGACTGAGGTCGTGATAGTTCATAGCTGTGGGCAATGAAAGAGAGAAGGATATGAGGAGAGTATCAGATTTGGGCAACTGAATAATCAGATCTATAGTGATGGAGTGAAGCTCATTTTACTTGGGTGAAGTTGAAAATTTTTGCATTTACCATGTTAAGAATTAAGTCTCATAATCGTCCAAGTGTAGTTATCTGGCCACAAGCTAGAAGTGCCAAACTTAAGAATGAGGAGACAGTTGTTAGATAGAGGTATAAAAGAGTCATCTATACAAATGCAATAATGTGAGATATGATTACAGAATGCTTGACAGCAAGAGAGTGCAGAATATAAAGGTAAAACCATGAGGATTGTGTGTTTCAATTGCAAGTAACAGAAACCCAAACACACTGTGGTTTAAATAATACAAGAAACACTCATATAACAGAAAACCTAGTAAAGTGGGCCTTCGGCCTGGGTCTGGGTCAGTTCCCTCAAGTCCACTCTATTCTGTGTTTTGTGTGGTTTTTCAATCTAGAGTCCTTAAAGAGAGTAAATGATATCAATAGCAATTATGTCCATGTTCTATATTACTTATTACTCCAAAAAGAGAGGAAGAACTGATTTCTCACAACTATCAAAGCGTGAGCTTTACCAGATGTCACACGTAAATGTCATGTGTTGGTGGCTGTGGTCTGGCTTTCCCCATCACTGTGGCAGGAGGAATACATTTATAAGACAGGGCTGAGACTAGTCATACTTTACCAGGCAGCTGGGGATAAAATCTGTCCTACCCAATTCTCCAGGCTGCTACACAATGAGAAGCTGAGATCATTTAAAATGCAAAAGGTCCAAGAACAGATTCGTTTAGCGATACGATATGGGTGAGACAGATAGGGCTCCAAGGAGATTGTGCTACTATGGAAACCTGGGCAGGAGAATGTGTCAGTGAGGACACACCTCCAACAAGGTGGTAGGGATGATGACAGATGAAGGGTCACTTGTTTGGGTGACTAAGAAAAGGATTGGTGGCCTTAAGACAGCAGCTTTAGCTGCGTGCTGGTCATGGACACGAGAGCAAAGACTGGGTATGAACTAGAAAAGGACCCAGGTGGACTATTCTTTCAGAAAGATGCACGATATTGGAAGAAACTCAGGGAGAAATGGGGGCATCACTGCTTTTAGACAATGGGAGAAGAGAATGTTTTCAGGCTGAGAGAGCAGCAGGAGAGGGCGAGACGGATGCTGAGAGGTGGAGTAAGGGAGATGTGGGGGCTTGAGGGAGAGCAGAGCGAGGAGAGAGGTCGGCTGTGCAGGCAGGGAGGTTTGGGGAAGGAAATTGGACACCTGTTCCTTAGAGACCAGGAGGGGAGCCAGGACGGAAAGAGAAATGTTGGAAACAGAAACGTTGACATGAAAGGAAGTCAGGGAGCCTCCAGGGCATGTGTGTAATGGTCTTGGTGAGATCACCTCTGGGGGTCAGGAGAGCTGGGTGTCCCAGGCAGGCCATGAAAATTTGAAACAGCCCCAGGCAGATCATTAGGGGACTCCAGAACACAAACACAGAGACTGGAGACTTGCAAATCAACCCGGTCTTTCTAGAGAACAGTCTGGCATCTCACAACCAAAGCCATAAAAGCATTCCTGGCCTTTGACCCAATAATCCCTCTTCTGGGAATATCTATACCATGGAAGTACCCGAAAAGTAAATGCAAACTATTTGCAAAAAGATGTTTGTGGCTGCCCTATTCATAATAATAAAATCCTGGAAAACACCCAAATGCCCTACAACTGGGGAATGGTTAAACAAACTACAGAGAACATTAATGTGTTAGAATGTTAGAGAACCATTGCAAGTGACAAATTTGAGTACTGTGTCAATACCTGAGAAAGTATATTCAGAAATGAACACAGTGGAGTATGAAATAAGAAGGATAAGTTGATTTCCACCTAGGAACGTAATGTGTATACAATGGTATAGTTCACAAAAGGTCACTGAGTTATGTAAATACTCAGGGTGAAAAGGTAAAGAAGTTTTTCCCCTTTAGAAAATTGCTTAAATATACATTTTTTAAAGGAATTGTCAAGCGGTTGATGCCAGCCAGAATGCATGCCCAATGATGGCAATCCACAGGACTCTTGGGCCATCTCCCCTTGTAGAAAAACAAATGAGAATGGGCGAACTGATAGACAGCTAATCACTGTTAAGGTGGGTGGGTCATGAGGGTAGAGGTCACCAAGAGATAATCAAGTCCTTTGCTGAAGTAGCTTGTGATGCATAGGGATTTGTAGAGAGTGGAGCAGGTCGGAAAATAGGGAAACCCTGGAAAGCAAGAGAAGGGGAGAGACAGCTGTGCCAAGAGCAGCGAATGAGCAGGAACACTGGGCCCCGGAGAGCAGTGTGGACATACTGGAGGTCTTGTGGATGATGAGGACAAGCGGCCCCTGATGGGAGAGCTGAACTGAGATTCCTAGAGGAAAAGAAGCTGATGACTAGAGATATAAACAGCAGCGAAGCACAGGGCACACAGCAGCCACCCAGCAAGAGCGCATGGAACCTCCTTTCTATTCAGCACATTCTGGGCACCGGAGAAACAGTGGTGAATGAAATGGTGTGCCTTGCCCCACCATGGACTGATGACCCTGAACCAGCTCCCTTTTTCATCCCTAGCACACAGCTGAGATTCGGCCACCTGTTGTTGAGTGGGTGTAGAAGCGAGATGAATTCTCCCTGGTTGTCCAAAACAGGGGACAATCGGCATGCAAGGGTTTGGGGGCATGGCGAGCGGGGTCATCGGAGCTCATGCCAGTGACTGAGGTATGGAGGCAGTTGGAGAGGTGCTGTCCAGGGAGGTGGGCACAACAGAGATGCAGAAGACCAGAGGGAAGCACAAAAGGGTTGGTGGGGGATGTAATACGTTAGGGTTAAATGTTAGGTTTGAGAAGGCATTCGTAAAAAGAGAAATTAAGGTGATACGAG